GCTTCCTCCTTTCTTTCTTTCCTTCTTTCCTTTTTTCCTTGTTTTTTTTCTATCTTTCTTTCTTTTTTCCTTCCTTTCTTTCCCTATTTTTTCTATCCTTCTTTCTTTCTTTCCTTCCTTGCTTCCTTTTTTCTTTCCTTTATTTTTTTCTTTCCTTGCTTGCCTCTTTCTTTCTTTCTTTCTTTCTTTCTTTCTTTCTTTCTTTCTTTCTTTCTTTCTTTCTTTCTGTCTTTCAAAACATTTTGCTTCTCGTCCAAGAAGCTTCTTGTGGACCGAAAAAGCTTCTTCAAAGGGGCAGCGGAGCTTTTCCCAAGAAATGTTTCTTTTAAAAAACTCAAAAACATTCCGGTTGCTTTGTTTTCAAAGTGGGGGGGGGGGAGAAAGAAAGCCTCTTTGGGACAGTCAGAAGAAGGAGACCCTCCGGGGAGCTTTAGGCCTTTCCGCTGTCAGCTGGGCAGCCCCCTCCCCACCCCTCGGCCTTCCTTCCTTTGAGCCCCCCAGCCTCCTCCCCTCCCTCCCTCCCTCCTCCTCTTCTTCACTTGGGGCGTCTCCCCCGGAGCTCACCCGGGACGCCCCTCTTAGCTTGCTTGACGGAGGACAGACAAGGGGCCTGGGAGGTCATCTAGTCCAGCCCCCCACCCCACCCAAGCGGGAGACCCTACCCCAATTCCGACAGCCTCTTCCTGGAAGCCTCCAGTGACGATGGACGTTGGTGCCAATTTTTGGCGGGGGGGAGAAGTGTCCTCAAGGGCATTTATTTTGTCGCCTCGGCTCAGCGCCGAGTAGTCCCTTCCTTGATTTATTTTTGGGTGTGTGTGTGTGTGTGTTTGTGTGCCATTCTGGCCTCCTAACCATTTGGATCCAGAGAGGATCCAAACTTCAGCCAGGCCGGTCCCTCTCGTCCGGTCTGACGGGTACCAATCGATGGGTAGACTTTTAAGGCCCAGGCCTCGTCCAGCTCTGTCTGGAGCTGCCTGGGGGGGGGGGGGGGGGGGGGGAGTGCAGGAACCCGGCCCCCTTGGCCCCAAAGGAAGGAGTGACCCCCCCTCCCTCCCACCCACCCCCCTCACAGGCCGATTAGGTGGGCCGGGAGCTGGCCAGAGGCAGAATTCGCCACCTGTGCCCACCTGGATACCTGGCTGATCGTGGGGGCCGGCAGAGAGGCTCCGGGGATCCTGTGGGAGGGGGCTGCCCAGGGTCCCCTCCCTTCCTGTCCAGGCAGAAGAGAGAAAGGGGGAGAAACTATCCCAGCCCTCCATGGGCCTGGCTTCTCGCAGACGGGGGGGGGGTCGCTGTGGAGGCTGCCAGGCGGCCCCTTCCTTGCTTAGCCCAGGCCCACCCAAGTTTGGGGGGAGGAAGGAGGAAGGGTTGGCTGATTCCCCCCCCCCAAAGGCAGGGGTCCCCAAACAGCTTTGCTGGCCGGAGGATTCTGGGAGTTGAAGTCCAGCGGTCTTAAAGCGTTTGAGGACCCCCCCTCCCCACGATCTGCTTGGACCTTTCCTTGCAATGCCCCCCGACCCCCACCCAAAAGAGGCTGTGCTACAAGGACTGCCGGCAGCCAATCGGTGCAGGAAAAACGGTGGGGGGGGGGTCTGAAAGGGGAGGGGCCAAAGGGCAGCCCCCCCTCCCCTCTCCACCGCTCTTCCTCCTCCCGAGAGCGCCAGCCCGTCGGGTTTGACTGCCGTTTGCCTTGCACAATATCCGGAGGGGCAGGAAACTGTGGGTGGGGGCTAAGGAGGAAGTCTCCAGGGAGAGACTCTGCAAGCTGGCATCTGGGAGAGGGGGGGGGAATCCGACTCTTATATTAACGTGACACCCTCCCCTTTGCTTTGTCCTCCTCCCTCTCCCTCTCCCTCCCCCGCCCCCCCCGAAGACTGCAGGAGTCCGGACAGCTCTTTGGTCAGCAGCTCTCCCCCTTTGCGGGGCCCGGGACCTTCCTCCCCCGCTGAGCCTCCCCCCCCTCTGCACCCCTCCATGATCGGCTCGGCCATGACCAGCTCCGTTGGCGGGCTGGGCTCCCCCTTCTCCGTCATCAGCTCCTCGATGGGCTCGCCGGGGCTCCCGGCTACCCCCTCCATCGGCTACGGACCCGTCAGCAGCCCCCAAGTAAGCAGGGGGCCGGAGTCGGGCGGGGCGGGGCAACCGGGACCCCCCCCCCATCTCTGACGTCCCCTTTACTACTCCCAGATCAACTCCACGGTCAACCTGTCCGGCCTCCACTCGGTCAGCAGCTCGGAAGACGTGAAGCCTCCGGTGGGCATGAGGGTCCTGCCAGGCCACCCCCACAGCGGCTTGGTGCCCGGGAAGAGGCTCTGCGCCATCTGTGGGGACCGGTCCTCAGGTAGGTGAGGCAGAGGGCTGCCAGAACGAGGGAGGGTCCTTTGAGGAGAGAGAGGGCGCCGGGTCTTCGGATGGGCCGGCTGTCAGGATTCCAGCGATCGCCCCAATCCTGATTCTCGAGCCAAACTTCAAAAAACTTGAAAGGATTCCTTAGAGGCGACCTCCTGGCCCCGCCCTGTATGAAGCCAACTCTGGCCTACGTCATTCCCAGGCCCCTATGACCCTGTTCTCCCCCCCCTCCCTCCCCCCCTGGGTGTGTCATAAATCAAATTCTCCAACGGAGGATTTTCCCGGGCAGAAGATTCGGTAGCTTAGTGACGATCTTTGTAAAATAAGCGTGGAATGTGCTTTCGGGCAAAAGCTCCGGTATTTGCTGTTACAATCTTTGAAAGATAAAGCGTCGGAGTTGTACTTTCGCTTTCAAACTGCTGCGCCGCTCTTCCAAATTTCCTTCCTCTTTCTCCCCCCCTCCATCCCTTTTTTTTTTAATGGGAACTATGTCAACTCATAAAAACATGCAGAAAATCCAACCAAGCTGGGGGAGGGGTTCGCGAGCCTAAGCTTCCAGGCCTGCGAACGATTTGTTTGTGCGTGTGTTGTATAGGTCGGTGGCCCCCCGACCTTTTTTGTGCCACGGCCCGGTTACCGGCATCACAAAATGATCCGCGGCCCGGTACCGGCATCGGCACGCATGACAAGGCAAGGCGAGCCGAGCGACCGGCCAGCCAGCCGTCCCCCACTTCTCCCCACCACCTTCAACTCCTCCTTTTGTACCTTTGTCGATGGGGTTCGCTTCGGGACGGGTCGCTCGGCTCGCCTTGCCTTGGGTGCTGAAAGAACCCTCGCGCCTTAGTTTCGTTCGAAGCCGCCCCCCCTTCGATGAAACTAAGGTGCGAGGATTCCTTCAGGACCCAAACGCCGCTTTCCAGCCGGAAAAGCTCACCCGGAAGCACTTTCTCATCAAAACAAGATGGCGGCACCCAGCAAACCGGCGGCCCGGTAGGAAATGTTCCCTGGTCCGCAGCCCGGTGGTTGGGGACCCCTGGTATAGGCCACCTTCAAGAAGTGAGGGGAGCCGAATGTCAACTCATAAGACATTTTGTATAGTTGTCGACAGAAAAAAGGGGAGTTTCAAAGAGTAGTCGGCAGCGTGGAATCGAAAGTACGTTCCACTCATGTTTTCTTCAAAGACCGATTCGATGACTGAAGCTTCTGCCGCGAAAAAAATCTAGCTGGAGAGCATGATTGATGACTCTGCGTTATGGACATTTGTTCGTTGGATGATACACCCTGGGGGGAGGGGGGAGGGGGTGAAATCTGGATCAAAGGTGACAGTGAATTAGGTATCTCAGAGTCGGCTATGCCCAAATTAGTGCCGGATGTAGAACGTTAATTTCTAACGCTTTTTAGTTTTGAGAGAGGCTCATGATTTACATTGGAGTAACCGCCAGAATCCTGACGCACGTAGGAATCTTTGATGAGTAGACATGGGGAGGGTGGGGGAGGCCGAGCCGGGCCCAGGGTGAGCCCTCCTCTGCCCCTCCCCGCCCCAGGGAAGCACTACGGCGTCTACAGCTGCGAGGGCTGCAAGGGTTTCTTCAAGCGCACCATCCGGAAGGACCTGACCTACACCTGTCGTGACAACAAGGACTGCATCGTGGACAAGCGGCAGCGCAACCGGTGCCAGTACTGCCGCTACCAGAAGTGCCTGGCTACCGGCATGAAGCGGGAAGGTAGCGCAGGAGGGGGGGGAGGAGGGAGGGCGGCAGGCAGGGAGCCTTCCAGGGCCGGGCACTGCGGGGGGAGGGGGAGGGGAGAGCAGCACCCCTCCCCCGCTTCGTTCTGGGTTGAGGGGAGGGGACTGCCTCCCAGCCCCCACCAACATCCCCCCGCCCTCCCCCTCCGCTTTGCCTCCCCAATGCAGCCGTGCAGGAGGAGCGTCAACGGGGCAAGGAGAAGGACGGGGAGGGGGAGCTAGCCGGCACCGGGGCCAACGAAGACATGCCGGTTGAGAAGATTCTGGAAGCCGAGCTGGCCGTGGAGCAGAAGTCGGACCAAGGCATCGACGGAGCCGGCACGGGGGGCAGCTCGGTGAGTTGGGGAAGGGGAGCAGCCACGGGACCGGAGCGGTCCCTCCACCACCCCACCGACACCGATGAGGTAAGGGGGGGGGGACACGGGGAGGGTGGAGGAGGGAGCTGGGAGGGTTCGGGGGAGCCGCCAGTCGGGGGGGGTCCCGGTGACGGCGCCCGTGTCCCGCCGTCCCACCCTCCGCCTGCCTGTCTCCCCCTCCTCCCCCCCCTTTTTTCGTAACCTGCAGCCCAACGACCCCGTGACCAACATCTGCCAGGCGGCCGACAGGCAGCTCTTCACCCTGGTGGAGTGGGCCAAGCGCATCCCCCACTTTTCGGAGCTGCCCCTGGATGACCAGGTCATCCTGCTCCGGGCTGGTGAGTCGTCGTCCTGTCGTTCCGCTGCCCCCGCTGGCCTGGACCTCGGCCCATGCGGGAGGGCGCCCCTGGTGGTGGTGGGGGACACACGCAGGCCCAGTCTCACGGCAGCCCTCCTCACGTCTCCCTCTCCGCCCTCCCCGTGCAGGTTGGAACGAGCTGCTGATCGCCTCTTTCTCCCACCGGTCCATTTCGGTGAAGGACGGAATCCTCCTGGCCACGGGCCTGCATGTCCACCGCAACAGTGCCCACAGCGCCGGTGTGGGGGCCATCTTTGACAGGTGCGGCGAGGTGGCCCCGTGTGCGTGTGTATGCGAAGAGGTGCCCCTCCTAAAGGCCAGAGAGACCCCCATTGCCGTAGGGCATGGCCTGTAGGGGATCCCCCTGGCTCTCTCTCTCCCTCCGCCCCTTCCCCCCCCTCCGCCGAGGTTCTCCCCCGCCAAGGCCGGCTGTTCTGTCCAACCACCCCCCCCCTTCCAGGGTACTGACCGAGCTGGTGTCCAAGATGCGCGACATGCGGATGGACAAGACGGAGCTGGGGTGCCTGAGGGCCATCATCCTCTTCAATCCAGGTCGGCCTTTCCCTCAACCCCCCCAGCCGCGATGCCCCCTGTCGCGGTTGGCCGGTGCAGAGGACAGTGGAATCGGACATTGGGGAAGGACGGGGATGAGTCCGGGAATCTGGGGAGGACTTGGACGAGGGTCCGGTGCAGAGAGGAGGGAGGAGCCAGGACCGTTTGGGAATGGGGTGCTAAACTCCAGAGCCTTTGGAGTCTTCCGGCAAGGAAGAGGACCTAGGGGAGCCTGTTCCCGGCGTGTGCGTACGCTCAGAGCTGCTGGATGGCAGGAGCAGCTAAGACAAAAGGGGCGACTCGGGAGTAAGGGACGTCCCCTCCCCTAAGGGAATAAAAGCCAGGCCAAGCTGAGAAAACCTTTGCAGGAAGCAAACTCTTCCGACTCGGGCTTTGTAAACTGTAATCATTCGCAGAAGCGAAAGGTGAGTGCTTATCTCGGGGAACTAGCTTCATTCTGGCTGGGAACGAAAGCGATGACAATTGGGGAATCGTTACGGTTTACGAAGCTTGGGTCGGAACAACGCCCCCCCACCCCTCCAGGAGCATCACCTCCCCCCTCCTCTTCCCCCTACCCCCCACCCTCACATCTTGCTCTCTTTCCTCCTACCCCACCCCCCACCCCGACAGACGCTAAGGGCCTCTCCAACCCTGGGGAGGTCGAGTTGTTGCGCGAGAAAGTCTACGCCTCGTTGGAGTCCTACTGCAAGCAGAAATACCCGGATCAGCAGGGAAGGTAAGGCTGGTGGAGGTGGGGGGGGGACAGAGACCCCGCCTGGCCCCTCCCAACGGGGGGAGGGAGGGGAAATCCTGGCTGTGCTGGGTGGAGGGGAGACTCCCAATCCCTCCCGTCTCCCCGCCTAGTCTCTCATATTGGGGAGGGGATTGCCTTCGCCTTCCTGGCTCGTAGAGGGTTCTCCCCCCCCCCTCCCCCCCCTGGGGGGGCCGGCCCTCCCCCCCCCCCCTCCCCCCTCCCAACGGGGGGGGAGAGGGAGGGGAAATCCTGGCTGTGCTGGGTGGAGGGGAGACTCCCAATCCCTCCCCGTCTCCCCGCCTAGTCTCTCATATTGGGGAGCCTTCCTGGCTCGTAGAGGGTTCTCTCCCCCAACCCTCCTCCACCTAGGGGGCCTGACCTCCCCCTCCACTCTTTCTCCCCTCCCTCCCCCTCTCCCCTCCCCCCACCCCCCACAGGTTTGCCAAACTGCTGCTGCGCCTGCCGGCCTTGCGGTCCATCGGCCTGAAGTGCCTGGAGCACCTTTTCTTCTTTAAGCTGATCGGGGACACCCCCATCGACACCTTCCTGATGGAGATGCTGGAAGCCCCCCACCAGATGTCCTGACACCCCCC